GGGGAGATGGGCGGGGACAAGTTAAATAAATAAATAAATAAATAAACTTTGAAAGAAACATTAACATAATGCAGCATTATTTAAAATTCTAAAATTGAGAATCATCTATTGATACTAATGCGATTAATTAGTCAGAATATTTATTCCAGATTAGAATATTAGCAGAATGAACGTAAAGTATCCCCACATGGCCACGGCCATTTAATTTTATTGAATATCGATTAGCTTGCCGCTGCCTTCGTTGAGGGTGCTTTTCAACTTCTTGGTCTAGCCTGGTGGTCTCCCAGCCAAGGATTTTCCAATCCTGGCCCCACTTAGCTTTTCAAGACCAAGGTAGGCTAAGGGGCTACCATGTGGTTCAAAGAGGGACCTTTTGTGAAAGTTTCACTCTGGAACAGCAGAGAAGGGCCGGTTCTTTTTCCTCTCCCAGGCCATTTCACTTTGCCCTTGCTTCGTGTAACTGAATCTGCCCCCTCAATTGTCAGTTGCTCTTGCACTCAGAAACATGCCTTTTACTTGCCATATAGGACATGCACACTTGAGAAGTGCCACTTCTGGCTGGGACCATCACATTCCCTGATCACTCTACAGCCAGAGGAAAACTTTAGTGATATACCTAGAAAGCATGAGCTGGGTATCATGCGGTGTCACCCAGAAGAACTAGAGCCGATGGACATACTACAAAGCACTGAGCACAGACATGGAGGTAGAACTGTGCAAGAGCTGGCCATGGGAGAACACAGATCTCACTGTGTCTCAGGAGAGCAGGTGGGCATTACTCAGCACCAGCCACTGATGGCATGTCCAGAGCATGAGCAGCAAGCCTAAGGGAGAAATCCCATCTCCTAAAACCACAGCATAGTAGCATTTCAGTTTCCTTTAACTGTAATAGTTAAAAACATTAACTACACGTACACACAACATATTACTTCAACAGAAGCCTATTGGAAAAAGAAATACAAAAATAAATTTCTCTCATTTTCCAAAATGTTTCAAATTCATCCACTGAAGAAAATAAATAAATATTGCAGTTTTCTCTCATAAAATAGGTTATCAACTTAACTGAAACCAGTGCATATCCAACCTAATTGTTGTTGTTGTTGTTGTTGTTGTTCAGTCGTTAAGTCGTGTCCAACTCTTCGTGACCCC